TAGAGCGAGGTACATGTACATGCATGGAGCGACTCATTTTCTCGAGAGTCTGGTGAATCATGCCATCGCCAGACCATGTCTCTCAGGCATGTGACAAACTAGGACAAGCATGGGTACTGGGATTGGCTGCCACCAGCATCAAGTGATGATGAAACGTCATCAACATCAAGCACAGCCCTTGGTCCCGGAATTGGTTGCCGCTAGCCGGTTTTTGGGCGACTCCGGCGGTTTTTTGGCGACTGGGTGACCAGGGATCGGCGGCTAGCCGCTTGGCGACTAGGTAACTGGCCGGCTGGCGACCAGGTGACTAGCCGACTGGCGACTAGGTGACTAGCCGACTGGCGACCAGGTGACTAGCCGACTGGCTAATTGTGTGACCATGGTGACTAGTGACTGATGCAGATTCCCAAAATTGGTCTCACGTCTGAGTGTGAAGTGGAACATGCATTATTCGCCTTTACCAGTGTCATTCAACCAATTTACCCCATCTTAAGTTCTCAAAACAAAGCAAATTTTTCAAGTTCTGTGCACATTTCATGACTGACTACCAGACAGTGCATTGGCGAGGGCATTGGTTGGGGAGGATCTCACTGCGCTGTCAAAAGTAAGTAGGTTCTGAAAAATAGCCATCAGAAGGCATAACAATTATAACTCCATCCTGAAGTAGCAAACAGTTCCTTTATGCTGGTCCTTTCGGCTGTTTTTATTTGCATTTCAGGCTTTTCCGTTAAATCTCATAATCATCTCATAGGACAAAGGATCGCGTAAACGAGCTTTGACCACACCTTGCAGTTGCGCTCGATTGCAAATGGGCGGCTAAGGCCTATGTGATACACTGACCGTCTGCAAACAGTGCAAGGGTGTTGAAATGACTAACGGACTGAAGATGTAGGCATCCCCAATGATTAACGGTCTGAAGATGTAGGCATCTCAAATCCGCGCCTCGAATGGCGCACGTGCCTTTTTACCAAAAGCTCTAACCTCCACGGCCCGGCTGGCTGGCTTGGCTGCCGACTGCTGCCGCCAGCCGGCATGTTCGCAGCTACGGCTGGTTTGGCTGCCGACTGCTGCCGCCAGCCGGCCGATCCGCCGCTATGGCTGGTTTGGCTGCCGACTGCTGCCGCCAGCCGGCCGATCCGCCGCTACGGCTGGTTTGGCTGCCGACTGCTGCCGCCAGCCGGCCGATCCGCCGCTATGGCTGGTTTGGCTGCCGACTGCTGCCGCCAGCCGGCATGTTCGCAGCTATGGCTGGTTTGGCTGCCGACTGCTGCCGCCAGCCGGCCGATCCGCCGCCGATCGTCTCACCAGCCACGCTGGTCCGGAGCGGCGGCCGCTGGTATGTGCAGCGAAATCGCTGGGCGAAAACCGTTTCGGAGATGGCTAACCGCATGATAAATAGCTTAAAGCGAAAACGATCACTTTTCCAGGTACTGTACATCGTAACGACTTGACCGACACCACATGACGCAAATAGTTTATGCCTTGTATTTCTTGGTCGTGTAACATGAGATAGACTATCTGCAAGGCTTTAACAATGATACTTAGTATCGCTTGACTGACCAGAAAAAAAACATTTTACTTTCTAGCCCGACTCTAATAAATAGTGCTAAAAATATGATAATATTTGTAATGTGTTAAGAATGTGGTGCAAGTCTACGCCATTAAATTGCGGGCCAAGCATTGAAAGTTTAGAGAAAAAAAAACTGTCGTCATAACGGCAAAATAACTCCTTGACCCACCCTAACAGGTAAGGCAACGGTGATTAAGTTAACAGTTCTGTCCAAATTGACATATGTCTTAACCTTACTCCACCGCCCGCCGGCCACAGTGATCACCCGTTTGAGGATATTTGTTTACGTGTATGTGGAGCGGGAAAACGAGCTCGAGCACGTCGAAGTACATTGACTTTACCAAACTCATCTGGTGGCCAAGGTACGGTAGATCTAAGATGCTACGTGATGACACTAAAATTATTGTGAGTAACGACAACAGAACCAACATAAGAACTCTAGGCTTTAACCACAAATTATGAACGTTCTCTAGGGAGGAGAAACTGCGCTTGAGACAAAGGCAGCATGTTACTTTGCTACCTTAGTGACAGATTGAGCAATTTATTTTGGAGGGCGGTTGTATGGTCCTTGAGTTCGTTCATTAGAACGTTTGACGTGGAGGATCTGAGCATGAGAAGAGCTTCCCAGCTTTCACGATCTGACTAAATGAAGTACACTATATCCGCTATCGAACATGGAAAAGTGCTGACTGCTGCATTTTGATGACTGACGAAAACGGTCCGCTGAAATATTGTTATTCGCGGAGGCGAAAGCAGCATATCACCTACACAAAACATTTCTGGACTACGCTGATCTCATCAGTTGTTTACTTTGAGCATACACAGCAACAAAAATACACATGGAACTCTGAATGTTTTGAACAACGTTACCTACCCGTTTAAAGTAAGAAAAGAGACAAGGTATATATATATATATATATATATATATATATATATATATATATATATATATCTGTATAATCGCTCGATGCTTCGCAGAAACCAAACAAAACTTTGGATAAATACACAGACCACTGCGCGTCAAATGAGTCAGCCAGCCCATATGACCGCATGGACACTGATTACTGTGATCCCATGGAGGGGCATATGTCATTAATGACATGGATGATGCTGACTGGAAATGGGTTGGCATGCTCGTTACTAAGACGTCCCCATGGAGGTCCCGCCTGATGACCTCCGGACGCCCTTCGCGGCATGGGCTTTGGCGCGTGTTTTGTGCTCTAACAGTGCGACGTATTTGATAAATCCTGCATTCGAAAAGTGTCGTGCATGGAAAGCCACCTCCGCTTTCCTCGAAAGGTAATGGCTTGGGTGAGTGCTATGTGTATAGGCAATGGCTTGGCTGAGTGCTGTGTGCATAGACAATGACCTGGCTGAGTGTTATGTGCATAGACAATGACCTGGCTGAGTGTTATGTGCATAGACAATGGCCTGGCTGAGTGTTGTGTGCATAGACAATGGCCTGGCTGAGTGTTGTGTGCAATCATTTCAGCAGCAGTGTGGTGGCTCGCACGGCTGGGTAGCGGCGAAGGTGGTCCAGCTGCTGTTCCAGTGTCGGGACACGCCCCCCCCCCCCCCTCTCGCGCCACCAATGCACGGTCACCGGCTGAGCTTTCCATTCGTCGCCGCTGCATAACCGTCTGGACTTACGCAGAGCGAGCATGGTCCATGCCATAGAAAGGGGGGCAATGGTCTCGAAAACGGCATGGTGACCAGGGGACTCAGTGGAGGTTTGTAGGGCCGGTGATACGGTGTGGGTCACGTTTGAGGACCGGGAGACTCAGTAGAGGTGTGTAGAGTCGGTGACGCAGTGTGGACCACGTCTGCGGGCCAGGCGACTCAGCAGAGGTTTATAGAACCCGGTGATGCAGTGTGCGTCACGTCTGCGGACCAGAGAACCCAATAGAGGTTTGTAAAGCCGGAGAATAGGTTTGCAGGGCCGGTGATGCGGTATGAGTCATGTCTGCGGACCAGGGGACTCAGTAGAGGTTTGTAGAGCCCGGTGATGCAATGTAGGTCACGTCTGCGGCTAGCGGGTCGATGGATGGAACTGACTACATACTAGAGTGTTGGAAGGGATGAGTGTCAAGGTGACAGTTACGCTGTTTAATGGGCTTGTGTGCCCATCACACGGACCACAGTCGGACGCGCTATGGCTGCTGGGGCGTCGCGAGCTGCACTGAGATGACGTACTGGGCCCCAAGTCCCATCGGCGGCGGGCCTGTGGTAGCACCTGCCGCTCCCGTGTCAGAGCTGGAACAGCGCCGGGTCCTGGAGAATCCGAACCCGAATTTGAGCCCGAACGCGTCCAATCTGCCGCGCTCGGTCCTGATCCGAGCCCGCGCCCGGCGTCGGCAGCGCCTGAGGCTTATGATGCCGGTGTCTTAGTGTCGTTCGGTGAAGTCGAATATTGTGATGATAGGCTGTGGACGGCCAGCTTGGCAGGCACTTTAGCGTGCTTTGTCCTGCTCCGTCAATGTCCCTCTTGCGACGTAGAGACTGTGATGGAAGTGCTGTATGACTGGTGATCTGTGACGTCAGCGGTGACATCACATGTCACAGCTTCCGATTCGTCGCCTCTGGCTAGCTGTGCAACGCGGACAGATGGCGCGTAAATATGGGAGTCGAGGCTAGACCACCGAGCTGTGTGGACCGCGTGGATGAAAATGGCCACACGGCAACTGCTGGCGCGTAAGCGTGCTTATCAAACTTGGCTATCATAGGCGACATGCCTTACTGGATTGCCTTTTAATGCTCCATGAGCACTAGAAGAAATATATCTCCGTCAATATGCTTACACCAGTCAGCCCATACTGTCGGGAGACCGCTACCACCTGCTGCTGCTGCTGCTGCTGCCGCTGCCGTCCCAGCCGCTATATGCCCCCAGCCAACACTCAACACTGAGGACGCTGCCTAAGATACCCAGCCACGTGTTCATCTCTCCATTGAGGACACTGACTAAGATACTCAGTCAGGTGTTCATCTCTCCATCTGCATCGCGACAAAACGCTGTCATATCTGGTAGTGCAAAATGTATGATGGTCTCAATATCATGGAACGCACGAACCCACACACCACACACAGACCAACTAGCTACCTAAAATAACGCCTAAAGCACACCCAAACCTAAGCAGAACTTTGGCAATGTAATATCATCTCATGGGGAAGCATCTATGCATACCGTGTAATCGGGCATGTTTAAAGCACTGCCCTGCGTGCGAGTAGGCTCGCGGCAGTGCTATAGACCACGACATTGCCACAGGAAAAACATCGGGGCACCAAGTCAGCAACACTTTGAGGATGTCACATCAAATGACACACAGTCAGCATGCCGCTGTATGCGCCACAGCGGAGGCAGACGACTACGGGACACGGATGAACACCGTTCACCTAAGCTAACTTGCACATAATCGCAAGAACATGACCAGAATAAACCAATAAAACCACCCGCGTGCCGCGCAGCCTGGTGCACCACTGCCCCCACGCCGGGTCACTTCGGTGCTGACAACACCAAGCTAATAGCTCAGACCGGCCGTGCACCAGCCGCGCACATGGCGACCGAATGCGAGTGCAGAACACCCAGGCGAGAGTCAAACAGGCTTCACATGACACTGATGCCTTCTCATTGCACAACAGCTTGATCGTGTTTTGACAGATACACGGCTAGGAGAGCTGGGATGGTGGACTCGCGCTAGGTCCAGCGTTGTGCACTGGGCTTACAATGTCAAATTCTGCGTTGTGCACTGTGGTTACAGCATCAATGATACACGTTATAACGTATATCGGCTACTGTTTCCGAAGACGTTTTGTCAGAAAGCTCCTGTTTTGTACTACCAGCTCAAAATGCCGTCCGCATTTACACTAAATCTGGGCCACACAAAAGCTGCAACTAATCTTAATGGAAGGAACCATCAGCACACTGGACAAACGTCAGGCCAGAATGTCGTCCAGATGCCAGAGATCACGGCCAGCTCGCGCGGTCTGCGGTGGATCACGCGGCTGGAGCGGGCAGGTCAGGCCAGAATGTCGTCCAGATGCCAGAGATCACGGCCAGCTCGCGCGGTCTGCGGTGGATCACGCGGCTGGAGCGGGCAGGTCAGGCCAGAATGTCGTCCAGATGCCAGAGATCACGGCCAGCTCGCGCGGTCTGCGGTGGATCACACGTCTGGAGCGGGCAGGTCAGCTGAGCGACCATGATGCGTCGCAGATGCCGGTGTTGCCAGACGACTTCAACGGATGCAGTCTGCCGATCCGCGACAGATGACGTGGTCAGACGTGGTGCTGTCCGCCGGTATTGCCAGACGAGCTCGCCAGGTGCCGTGCAGTCAGACAGCGCTGCCAGACGAGCTCACCAGGGGCAGCGCAGCCAGACAGCGTTGCCAGACGAGCTCGCCAGGTGCCGTGCAGTTAGACAGCGCTGCTGGACGAGCTCACCACACTTGGTGCAGTCGGGAGGCGTAGTTGAAGCAGAGCTCGCTCCGGTAGTCCCGACCCGGCGTGCAGAAGAGGCTCTCGCACAGCGCGATGGCGTAGAAAGTGACCGTCAGCTCTCGCCTCTTGATCAGCCGCGCCGGGTTCTCCAGCACCTGAGCGAGGACCGGCCAAGTGTCCTCAGACGTTCTCAGTGTCCTCATGCGCGCGCCAGCTCCGTCGTCAGCTTAGCGCAGCATCACCAGCACCAGAACCAGCACCAGCACCAGCACCAACATCAGCCCGGCGACCGCCGAAAACTGACGCTAAGCACCGCCACGCGCGGATACAGCAGACAAAGATGTAGATGATACGTGTACAGGTAATGACAGGAATGCCACGCCTGAACTGTGACCGCGAGATCGGGATTGTGAGCAAATCAGCTGTATTGTAGTGTTTCCTGCCGAAGGCAGCAGTGTGTGTTGTGTGATGCTGTTCGACGGATCCGTCCGGTGTCCTGTGCATGGCTCAAAGACATATTCACGTGTCCTGTTCGCGGCTCACAGACATATTCACGTGTCCTGTTCGCGGCTCAAAGACATATTCACGTGTCCTGTTCGCGGCTCACAGACGTATTCACGTGTCCTGTTCACGGCTCAAAGACGTATTCACGTGTCCTGTTCACGGCCCACACACGTAAACACGTGTCCTGTTCACGGCCCACAGACGTATTCACGTGTCCTGTTCACGGCCCACAGACGTAAACACGTGTCCTGTTCACGGCTCACAGACTTATTCACGTGTCCTGTTCACGGCCCACAGACGTATTCACGTGTCCTGTTCACGGCCCACAGACGTATTCACGAATGAGCTGTTAAGTGCATTCCCGAGGAACGTTGTGCGTGTAGATGGTAGAGTAATAACAAACCAATTCCTCGTAGAATAAACAGGAGAATGGAAAGATAGATGTAACATTTCCGCCGCATGTCTGTATCGAAACGAGTATGAGTAGTCTAGGAGTCCTGGTCTAGTAGCATACAAGTACGTTTTAACATGATTGTACTCGATCTCTGTACAGGGCATATTGTGGTGTAATTGCTAAGCCAGAAGGAGACGCTCACTTTATTGAGCGCGCTCAACTGATCACGCGCAGCCACCATATCACCACCATACCTTGTCTGATATGTGACCTGGCCCAACACCCTGCCCGGTCTCACATCTCACCTCACCCTGGTCTCACACCTCACCCGGGTCCAGCACCCTACCTCCTACCTGGGCCGCCACCCCGCCTGCTGCAGTGGGCTCACCTGGTTCAGCAGGCGGTCGATCCTGTCAAACTCGACGTCTGTCAGCTCGAGCAGCAAGTTGACCTCAGGGATGAAGAAGTGCGACAGGTAGCGCTGCCGAATGTAGCGCTGCAGCCGCAGTGCCAGCCGATGCAGCAACACCTCCTCCACGCCGTCAGTACACTCCAGCACCCCGGCCTGATCCAGCTCCCAGTACAGCACCGTCTGGGGCCGGTGCAACGTCGGAATGGTCAGCAGGAGGATCTGAACGGCACACGCTAAGCGCCAATGCAGAGTTGAATTAAAATTGAGAAGCTTTCCGCCATTCCCCTCGAGTTTCAGCGACACAGTGGCAATACTCAGTCATCGACCAGCGCCCTCTGAACGAGCTCCCTGCCAACATATTCGGGCCCCCAGCGACGACGCATCGGCTGTGCCGACCTTAAGGTAGTAGGAGCGGAAGTTGCTGTTGTTGACAGTCGTCGGGCAGTCGGCCTGCATGATGTACTTCTTGACAAGCCACTTGAGCGTCAGGTAAGCCCGCCGGTAGTGCTCCGGTATGTTTTTGCTGAGGGTGACCTCCGCCTGGCGCCAACAGCTCTAATTATTCATCTGTTGCGTGTTCTCCGCGAGACCCTCACATTGTTGAGTGTCTCACATTATAGTGTCTCACATTGTTGAGCCCTCACATTGTTGAATCCCTCACATTGCTGAGTCTATCACAGCGTTGAGGCCCCCACATTTTTGAGCCCTCACATGTTGAGCTCCTCACTCACATTGTTGAGTTCCTCACCATTTTGAGCCATAACGTTGTTGAGTCTCTCACATTGTCCCACCTATCACACTGTTTTTTTGTTTGATTGACTGGTTGAGTTGATGATATGTTACCCCGTCACATTGATCAGTCAACTGCAGTTTACGCTGCAGCAGCCAGGGCAGAGTTTCAGAGCATTTGCTCACAGCGCCCAACACTTGACGCTTTCATAGACACTTGGGAACGGAGAAGGGGAAGACACAACGCCACAGCACGGAACGAGCGTCGGCAGCATGGCAGCACGGAGCGAGGGGGTGGGGGGGGGGGGGGGGCAGCATCCCAGGGACACTCTCAAGTGGCACCACCAGCACCCGCCGTCTGCTCTCACCTGTGAGAAGGAGTAGCGCCAGAGCAGGTGGGCCTCCTGGCAGGGCGCCTCCCCGCGCACGTCCACACACGCGCACGTGATGGCAGACTTGGGCACCAGGTGGCAGCCGCATCGCACCACCGTGTCCACCACGTTGCGCGACGGCCACAGACGTGTCCTGGGGGCGCGCGGAGGCCGGTCAGCGCGACCGTGTGAACAGCCTGAGGCGGCGTCCCTCGCCGTGTTCTGGTGAGGTCTGCAGCGTCCCTCGCCCTGGTCTGGTGAGGTCCGCAGCGTCCCTCGCCCTCTCCCACCCCACGAGTTTGCACATCCCACACTGCATGCTCCATGATCCGACTTATCACCGTCCAGCGACATCACCGCATGAGGGCCCAGACTATCTAGACCATCCAGACTATCCAAACTACCCAGACTACCCAGACCGCCCAGAGCATCCAGCAATACAATTACGCCCCTCCGCCTGAGGCGGCAGGAGGCCGACTGAACCTAGGCTCATTCGCTTTTTGTGGCAGTTAAGCATGATCTCTGCGCCGATGCAGGCAGACTCGTTTTTAAAGGAGTCTAGCTTATTCTTCCTGGGAGGAAAACAGTGCCAAAGAGTCGGATACTTGCCGGGCCGTTTCTATACCCTGCACCAACAACCCCACATCTGGTACCCCTGCACCAACATCCCCACATCTGATACCCCTGCACCAACATCCCCACATCTAATACCCCTGCACCGACATCTCCGCATCTGATACCCCTGCACCAACTTCCCCACATCTAATAACCCTGCACCGACATCTCCGAATCTGCTGGCCTCGCTGTGACCCATGTGCGTCCACTGACCTGGTTTTGAACTCGCGTGCTTGTATGGGCCAGACAGGACAGACGAGTGCCGTCACAAAGTCGCCGTAGAAGATGGTGGGCAGCTTGAAGAAGCACTGCGACACGCACACGAAGACGGACGCGAAGCAGGCCGATACGACCAGGTAGGCGATCATGGCGACCACGTACACGTTGTCCGACGGCTGGCCTGGCCCAGACAGCATCAGCACCAGCATCGTGACCGGTAGCACCAGCACCATCGGCAGCAGCAGCGTCACGCAGTAGTAGATGGAGCAGCAGGCACCGCCGATACACTTGCGCACCTGGCGGCCGGAGACGGAACTAACGTCTTCGGTGACGGCGGGCGAAGCTCGTCCCGCCCTGTTTCCATGTGCCATATGCTACCACCTGCTACCGTCTGCTACCATCGGCATCGCATCGCGAAGTTCATGGAGATGCAGGCACAAGGCTTGTCATATGGCAAAACACCATGCCATTACCCGTGTATATGTACCTAAATGTGTCAAGAACGAAACACTTGGCTTGATACTAAAAAACAAAAGGTACCCAATTAGGCACGTAACCGATCAGCTCGTCCCGCGCCAACGCACAGCGGCAACAACTTTCTAAAAACCGCATCTTACCGGCCAAGATCCTCCCGTGAGGAAGATCCAGAGTGAGAACGGGATGAGCATGACGACGACGAAGCAGAGGCACAGCCAGTAGCAGCAGCTGTTCTGGAGACAGGTCAGCCGGGCGAACGCACGGTCATCGCGCTGGGTCAGCTTCAGCATGATGGCAGGACCTCGTGCCCGCACCTCTTTCTCGTAGCTGTAACGCCAGGCCCGGGGTTAGCACTACCCGCTGGCGGCGCTGGGGCGCCCGGACTCGGCGCGTTCAAGGTCAAAGGGTCGTTGCGTTTACGACGATGCATTTTCGTCGAGCGTCCTCCGCCGTACGGGAATAAGGCCAGGTGTTATGGGGTTTATTTTCATGGTACAATTCCCATTAGCGTTGTCCACACCATCAGGTGAAGAAATCCGACTCTTTGGCACCGCCCAACTGTGAAGCGGCCAGACAATGCTAGGCCATGGCTTAAGTAGCTGAATGAAAGCGCAACCATACGACCGTTTCATTGCGTAGTTCTCGTCTTTGACGGCAGAAGTATAATGTAGGGGATGGGAGCAAGCGTTGGTCAACAAAACATGTATGTGGATGGGTTACGTGCTTTAATGGTGGTTGAAATAAGGTTGTTGGTCACTGTCTACGTGTCAAACAGGAGATACACTATCGACATCACGTAGCACGGCCCAAGACAGTTTTTACTACAGACGGCATAGGAAGGAGGTCTTTGGCTCACCATGGCAGGAAACTGATGAGCCGCTGGGAACAGCGGGACAGAACGATGCGTCATGACAAGGGACAGGTTCAAATCAAGCCCGGTAGATAAAGTCCAGCTAGTGCAGTGGGCATAACCAGAGCCTGAACCCAGACCGTCGGGTGGGAGCCGGCGGCGCTAACCATTCGGCCAGCAGTCGTCCGCGTACCTGGGCACGCCTCGGTAGTCCGCCAGACAGCTGTCCACGATGGACATGTCGCTGCGGTCCTGTTCTATGGCGAGCTGTAGCGAGCCGAACATCTCCTCCATCAGGCGGCGTGCCTTCAGGCTGAAACGGCTAGAGGTCAGCTCTGACAGGCCGGCGGGGTCAGCTCTGACAGGCCGGCAGGGTCAGCTCTGACAGGCCGTTGGGGTCAGCTCTGACAGGCCGGCGGGGTGAGCCCTGACAGGCCGTTGGGGTCAGCTCTGACAGGCCGGCGGGGTCAGCTCTGACAGGCGGGTGAGGTCGGCTCGTTCCTCATGGCTGACACCCGGGGTGGAGCGCCATCTGGAGTTGATTCTCACATCTGGCGCCGGCGCCAACTCCTTCCCGGCTGTCCCTACCTAGGTTGTCTCCTAACCGTCCCTAGATCAGCAGCCACCGGACCCTGCCTGGACCGCCCACAAACCGTCCATGCTTTGTTGTTGATTGGGGTTTTAGGGCGCGCCGATTACTAAGGCAATTTAGCGTCCCGTCCCTTATCCCTCCCCAGATCCTCCGGACCCACCCGAACACCCTCCTTGCCCCATCCCTGGATCAATTCCGGCCAATCCCTGGACCATTCCTTGAGCATTCCTACACTGTTCTTCGACATTTCCTTAACCATTCTCGACCATGTATTGCCTTTCCGTGACGATTCCTGGATCATTCCTCGAACATTCATTGACTATCATTTGGCCATCCCCGTTCCTTGACCATCCCTGTTCCATTTTTTGGCCATTCGCTTGAGTCACCGCTCAGCCTCCCCAAATCGATGGCTGGGCCGTGGCTGCCCACCTGGAGAGGTAGACGGCGCCGTCGCCGCTCGTCTCGCTGAGCCGCTCCTGCCACCAACGTCGGTCCTCGGGCAGCACCCGCTCCAGCAGCAGCTGCACGCGAGCGAAGCCCGGCGGCGTGGCGGCGCTGTTGGTCACCTCCAGCGTTGTCAGCTGCCGCCGCAGCCGGACCTGCCGACAGCAGCACCGACAGTGGACGGGACAGTCCAGACCGACCGCACCGGCAGTGGAGGGGACGGTCCAGACAGATCGCAACGGCAGCGGACCTGGACAGTCCAGACAGACCGCACCGGCAGTGGACCTTGACTTCTCGGCGCCAGAGAACTCTTGTACATGCGTATGGTGGTCCAGGGACAGCCCACGGACGGCCCGACGACGGTGGTCTGGGGATGGTTCAGGGACTGCCCAAGAAGGACCTTGGGGAGGCCCATTAAAAGCCTTCACTCGGTCACTCATGCGGTGAGATAGGTTGACAGTAAAAAACAAAACAATAAAAAACCGTGACGTAACCATTTTTCTGGAAAAAAAAGAACAGCTCACAACGAACAAACATTAAGACGGTAAGCATTTTAGTCAGAGTTCATGTGATAAGTGCCTAGCCTGCCATACAGCATTCTGCACCCTCCCGCCAACCACCCACCTACTACCTCAACCTGTGTCCTCCCACCTACCACCCGCCTACTACCTCAACCTGTGCTCTCCATCCTACCACCCACGTGCTGCCTCAACCTGTGCCCTTCCACCTACTACCCACATGCTACCTCAACCTGTGCCCTCCCACCTACTACCCACATGCTACCTTAACCTGTACCCTCCCACCTGCTACCCACATGCTACCTCAACCTGTGCCCTCCGCCCAAGCCAAGGCACGCTGACCACCAATGCCGCCGGCCGCGCAGGCCGCCTGGCTCTCTCACCGTGCTGCAGCTGGCCGACCTTTGTATGGCCTGTGGCTCGATGGCGCCCTCTGGCGGCGGCCGCACCAGCATCTCACACTGCTCGCCCGCCTCCCGGGGCTCGGCCAGCGGCGGCGGCTCGTCCTCATCCAGCTCGGGCAGCGTGTAGTCGATCGAGCACTGGCGAGAGAGCAGCCGGGGGTCGGCGCGCCTTGGGCCGGCGGCGCGCTCCATCACCTCCAGCCCCGGCGGATCGCGAGGCGTGGCCCCGCGGGCTGACGCGCCGCCGCAGGTCCGTGCCGCGGGCATGAAGGGGGCCGGATGAGGCTGTGGGAACCCGCTGAACGAGATGGTGTGGTACGGCGAGACGCCCTCCAAGTCATGCCAGGAGAGCTGGCGACCGCCGGCGTCGGCCGGCGCCACGGGCACCTGGGGATGAGTCACAGGTCACAGGGGTCACACCTGGGGACCGGTCACAGGTCACAGAGGACACACCTGGAGACGGGTCGGAGATCACCAAAGACACACCTGGGGACCGTCAGTGGTCCGGAGGACGCACCTCGGAACGCGTGGCCACTGGTCCCACATGTCACAAATTTAGGGAGAGGTCGCAGGTTACAGGTCCGTGACGTTACATTTAATGACAGGCCACAGATGTGAGGTCACACCACCTGCGACCATGGTCAGAACATATGCTACAACTCAGGTCCGAGGAGGTGGACATACCACACATCAGGTCACAGGAGTAAGACACACCACACCTCAGATCACAAGGGTAAGACACACCACAACTCAGGTTACGGGATAAGACACACCACAAGTCAGGTCAAAAGGGCGTGATACGCGATAGCCTAGGTCCCATGGGTAAGACACACTACACCTCAGGTCACATGGGTGAGACGCAACACACCTCAGGTCTCAGGGGTGAGACACACCACACCTCAGGTCACAAAGGTAAGACACACCACACCTCAGGTCACATGGGTGAGACATATCACAACACAGGTCACAAGGGTAAGACACACCACACCTCAGGTCACAAGGGTAAGACACAACACACCTCAGGTCACATGGGTGAGACATATCACAACACAGGTCACAAGGGTAAGACACACCACACCTCAGGTTGCAAGGGTAAGACACACCACAACTCAGGTTACAGGGGTGAGACACAACACAAGTCAGGTCACAATGGCGAGATACACCATAGCTCAGGTCACATGGGTAAAACACACTACGTCTCAGGTCACAGGGGTGAGACACAACACACCTCAGGGTGGTGTGTCTCCTCATTAGAGCGCGGCGGTGGTTTCACCCCTAGGTACCAGGCTGTACCTCAGGCCGTGTGCGGCCACTGGCGCGCCGGTGCTCCTGCCCTCACCTGCAGCACCACCATGAAATCGGCGTCTGTGCCGAGCACCGGCCGCGTCAGCCGGTACTCCTGCAGCGAGTCCTCCGCCTCCGGACGGGCGCACAGCGACTTGCCCAGCCGAGAGCTCAGACTGCCCACCATCAGCAGCGAGACGTCACACCGGCTGAACAGCTGACTCAGGCTCAGCTCTATGGTCGACTTGATCTGCTCCGAGCAGGCCGACCGCGAGTCCTGCCGCAGGAGGGCAGCACCAGCGGCATTAGGAGGGCAGCAGAACACGGCGGCGGCGAATGGCAACCAGCGGGCTCGCTCAGGGGGCGTAATAGCCGGATAGGAATGGAAATCGGCACAATGTCCGAGAAGACTTTTTGGCCCCGTGCTAACTGACCTCTCGATGCTACCACGGCAAAACAACAGAGACATTTTGGAACTCCTTCCTCGTACCTAGCAGCGCTGGATTACGGGCGAACCATGTTCGTTTTGGGACTCGGTGGTCACTGGTAGTTGCGTCCAACGCGTGGCTAGCAAGTTTCGAGATTATGCAATGTACGCCACAAGCTGTAATGCCGACGAAATCGTAAATACCAAAAGGCGTGCTTTGTTCATGCGATGTTCTGAAGATGCATTCTCGCGTGCGCCTCACCCACGATTTCTTGTCCATGCCATAGTTCACATAATGCACGGCCTTCATGGTGCTGGAGAGTCTGCAGTACGCCGGTAGGCGACAGCACCATCGGATAGCGCTCCATGCATTGCTGCAAATCCAGCGAGTGGCGAAAATCTGGAAAGAAAACAGAATTATACGTCACCGCGACACTGGGGTTTTCCACAAATATTTCTACAATTACGTGCATAATGCAGGCACCCGAGGCGTGACAAGCGAGCACAGACTTGGAGCCGCAGCTAGGACGCCAAATTAAATAGCCGTATTTACGAGGCCGAGGGCAGCTCAAGGGGGTGGCGTGTTCGAAGTTAACACCTCACATCGCGTGGCCTCCATGCACACCTGAGGCTTAAGTGCCGCAGACTCGTCCCAGCACTGTCCGGGCGCCCATGTCCATGGCGCTCACAGAGCTTCGACGACTCTCCGGCCACAACGCCTGCCACGCAAACAAACAGAAGAGGATGTCGTACCAAAAGGAAAATGCCGGAGATGATGGCCCATACGTGAAACCAGCAGGAGAAGCGGGTGCGGCAGAGGCATTGGGCAGACAGGGCGTCCGTCCTGCGGGCAGACAGGGTCGCAGGTGAAGAGACGAGAGGAGCGGACGGAACCGACCATCCCACTTATCGTGAGAGTTCTAACACTGGTTCTGCGGGATGCATGGAATGTCAACACCAAAGCCAGATGCTCAACCCCATCCGCAGCTGGGGTCAAATCGGGAAAAAAATCCGTCATATTACTTGACATTTCTCTTGTTGGCCTTTTCAAAAATCCTGTACCCACTGACACAAGACGGCAAATTTGCTTTTAAGATTTCAACCGAACCTTTTGAATGGCCGCACTTTTGGATCAGAGCTCACGCTGATCAATGTTTGTTGTGTGAGCCCTGACACCTAGCACCCGAACCCAGAATTCCAGGGCAACGGCAACATTTGGTGGTGGAAGTTGAACGTCCCGCGATGTTCTGCATGGTTCGCCCTGCCCACGTCAACTGATCTTTGGCGCAGCCGCTACCACCGGCCGCGGGCCATACCTGCCAAGGACACAAAGAGAAGGTCTAAAGCGCCTCGAACCCACCCGGAACAGGTGGGTGGATCGGAAGGCAGGCGCTCCAACCAACTGAGCCGCCGGGCGGACTCAGTTGCTCAATGCTCAAAGTCAACCGAACCATAATCTATCCGTTTCCGAGTCGTCTCAATCACGCCACGATCGTCAACTACAACCACGTCCGTTCCAATCCAGATTGATATCCATGCCATGAAGAGCCCTGGTCCCCAGCTCCCTGTACTGGGAACAACAGCTTCTGTGGACACCCCAGAATATGAGCGATGACGGTGGGAGTGAGGGGCGGACATCTAAAGGCGCACAGGCCTGCTCAGCCATCTGACAAACACACGAACACAAGCACTGGTTAATTTGAAAACAGAACAAGCTAGGGACGCTTGACAGAGGAGCGCGGCCGTGAGCAGTGCCTTCACTGAACGGTCACAACAGAGCGTGAGCGAGATGCTACCCCGCACTATGTGCTGATGTCACCCTCCCGAGACCCTGCCTGCCAGGTGATGCTATCCCGCACTATGTGCTGATGTCAACCTTCTGAGACCCTGCATGCCAGCTGATGTTACCCCACACTATGTGCTGATGTCACCCTCCCGAGACCCTTCAGCAACGAGCGGCGGCGACAAGACATCGCCTGAAATTCTGGCCATCGTTACACTCAGTGGCGACGCACACCAGATTTTGGGGCGCACCCAAAATCCAGCTCCGTCGAAAGCGCGAGCAAATAATTGGTACCCTTTAAGCTAGCGTCAGGACCATTGGTACCCTTTAAGCTAGCGTCAGGACCATTGGCACCTTGGCAGCTGGCGTCAGGACCATTGGTACCCTGAGAGCTGGCGTCAGGACCATTGGTACCCTTTAAGCTGGCGTTAGGACCATGGGCACCCCGGCAGCTGGCGTCAGGGCCAGGGCTGCTATCATTTCCAGAGACATGTAGAGAACACCCACTGCATGGTTCCAGCGCCACTTCCCACTCGCTGGCAGTGGTTCTTCTCACGCAGCAGCTCTGCCCAGCCCGGGTCCGACAGCAGGTGGTGTGTCTCGCACCACAGCGCCTGGAGGCACGTCACCAACAACCGTCAGCACAAACACAGCGACTGCCTCACCCAGTATGCTCTTGACCTCGTCTCAAACCTGAATGAAACACAACAAATAAGCAGCAAATTCACCACATAACGGCAGACATGACTCTTCAGGTGGGTTTGAAAGTCCATGCTCAATGGTGAACTATAAACCAGGTTTTAATCTCAATTGATACAGATATACCGTATATTTTGCCCATATGCACAAACATGATTTGTATAGAATTGCATACAATCCAAGGCCTAATAAGAATCCGGAACATGGAACGCTTACGAAGACACGTCATTGAACAGTTTTTTAACCGAAGCATTCGATCAAAGTAGTCCACCTTACCCTTGCAAGCGTATCTTACATTGTAAACAACGGGACCCTTAATGACAGAAATATGGCGAACCAAGAAAATTAAAGATGGGACGACATGAAAGTTACGAGTCATGGCAAATGGACACAAAAGGGCAGTCGAGGACGTACAGGAGTGGTGTGCTGAGGTACATTCAGAGCGGGTGTTATTGCTATCCTTATCGGGGCCAGCGGCTGCTGTTTTTATTGATGGAACGTTGGAGATTACGCATAAAAGTCGTGTTTTTAAGTGCCCTTGATATGCCCTTGACGCTTGCAGGGATCGTCACCGGTACTCGTCAGCAAGATTCCGTGGCGGCGGCTGATCAAGCGCCAGGATGGCACGGAATTGATCACCCTGTCACCCTCCGGGACATCCTCGCTGTATTCACGGCCGTTAATGACTCGCGGACTCCGTTGGCAATCCGGTGGCTATTCTACGTGCCAAAGACACACGCACAACAGTTTCCCCATGTTGGCTTGTCAGGAAACACAATAAATCCGTGATGGGTCATAAAAAGGAAGCCCAACCGGGTTGTTGGCATGCTTGCTGAGAACCACGCGGCGATGGTCAAAAACCCGTTCACGCACCGGACGAATATACTCTGTGTAGCCAGCCGTACACAGCGAGCATGGATACACACACTGGACTGTTGGTGGAGCAAGTCCTGACAAATGCATGGGACGCACCTGCCCCGTCTGATGGACACGTTGGTCTGCGCAAGTCAGCACCCATACGTGCTGTGTGCCTGGATGGTCCAGACCACTGTGTATTCTCAGTCACTATTTTTAAAAGATTTGTCGACCTTGGCATAGCTAGCTGTCGGTGCAGGGCAACGTGAGGTACACCATATGTTCTTGTTGGATGCCCTTTGCTGGAACGTTGGTTTATGATTTGTTTTAAGAAGATGGGGGTTAGCCTGCAGGATGTCTGCCGTTTTTGCATTAACACGCAATCGGGTAGGGGGTCAAATTGACCCCCGAAGGTTTTTCCAGAATGGCTTTCATACGACGCAGCGCCGTTGTCCAAATTCTGCGTAGCTGTGGAAAGTTGAATAGCGGACCGTTTGGTATAAAATTTAGATGTACCTTGTAAGGTCGCTTACTTATCGCAGGCCAAAGTCAGGCCATGGATTCCGTGAGGTCCATTTCTAGGGAATCGTTCAATCTGGTCCAACAACGGAGTGTGAAACGAAACCATTTATCTCTGAAATACTTTCTTAGGCATAACAATTGAATGAACAAATCCCACTGACCTGAGGGCAGTTTTGAAGGTCAATGCTTGTCTGTTTTATTACTTTAAAGCTTGCTGAGTGAGGCAGTTTCTGGTGCTCATTTCGAATTTATTGATAGCAGGAGCCGTATTACACATCTTCCGTGCACTTTTGAAAGGTCAGAAGGGGTCACTGACCCAAAACGACCCAGGTCAACATTGCGTTTTAAGAACATACTCCCTAGCGTAATCTCTGTCGCATATTCAAAGGCAAACCTCAAAGCAGTCTCGTATGATTCTGGTCAACATGACCTTCGAAAGGTAAAAAAGGGCACTAACCTTTAATAATCATGTGACTTTCTGCTTAAAACAGCGATCTAGGTTCTGGGGGACATAACAGAACAACCTGGAGATCGACACTGTTTGACCTTATTCGACCCTAAGGTCACGACCTAGGAGCCTCAAAATTCGACATGTGTTCAGATACAAGCCAACACCCTGTGAATTTGGTGTTTCTAGCTCTCTTAGTCTCTGAGATCTCAGGAGGGTCAAACTGACTCCCCACCCGAGCGAAGGGTATCTAGCCGGCCACCCGGACGCGTGTTAATGTCCGGCACGGTCTCCGCTGCGGCTGATGGCCTGCGGCTGACACATGAACAGCTCGGCAGAGCTTATTTGTCGGAGTGGTAATTCTCACACCACTTGGATGTGTGGATGAATATGTCAGGTTATGCCAGAGCGTATTTCTTTCACGTAAACTTCAGAGATGTGAGCGTTGTTTCTCGAGCGTGTCAAGAGGGCCCCTAAAAACGGGATAGCGCCGTGTTCATCCTGACGTTTGCTTGAAAACTTATGGATGGTGGAGCAAGTTTACAGTATTGAAACCGGCAGAAACTCTGCCCCTCCCACTCCCCCTCGTGCTCACACTCTAGCAAGATCAAGCATATATCGCATGAAAAACAGGTCTAAGAGAGCCAATAGCATGAGGTTCTATGTGACGCATGAATAGCATGGCAGCCGGTGGGTCCATTTTGTTTTCCATGGCTACTGCCTAGTTTTGCTTGTAGTGCACGTCTTCAGCTCGAAAATGCTGTTGTGTAAGCTTAATCCCATGAGGTTTCGACACCAATCGTGGTAAGGCTAGACGTCTGACTGTTCTTAACGTGGCGCTGAAGCGGATCAGATACCGCCGTGGTGGCCCCACCTATAGGAATATTGGCGTGCAGTCATAACACACCCAAGGTGGGAAAAGGCGCCTTTTGGGGAGTTTCAAGGGTTACTTTAATTTCAACTTCCAAGCAGAGCTCTGGATCTGACCACATGCGTTGTCACAAACTGGAGGAGATGGGTGAGGACAAGTTTGACTACTTAGTGTGGTCTTCCAGCCGTAGACCAGCATGGGTGAGGACAAGTTTGACTATACAGTATGGTCTTTCAGCTGTGAACCAGCCGCTTGACACAGTACGGCACAAAGTCATGCCTAGTTTGTGATCTCCGGGGAGAAGGTACCATGTTGAACATTTACAGTCGACGGACGTCGGGCGCCTGGCCTCCGACACGTTCACCAGCTTACCCATGGTAGGCTGCATGGCATGGTGGTCCGAACAGCTGCTGTCGGATCTCGCTGACGTTTGCCCAAGTCGTTCTGGTTGAAAAATAACACGACGGAAGAGTTCGGCTGTTCATTGCCTTCAGAGTCGGCAGTTAGGCTGCTCATTGCCTTCAGAGTCGGCAGTTCGGCTGCTCATTACCTTCAGAGTCGGCAGTTCGGCTGCTCATTGCCTTCAGAGTCGGCAGTTCGGCTGCTCATTGCCTTCAGAGTCGGCTGTTTGGCTGCTCATTGCCTTCAGAGTCGGCAGTTTGGCTGTTCATTGTCTTTAGGGTCGGCAGTTCGGCTGTTCATTGTCTTAGGGACAGAATCCCTCACGATCTAATAAATGGCCCAGTAAGTGGCTTCCGTCTGAATGCAGGCAGCACACCATACATGAGTGACCTCAACTTACCTTCGATAGCTGCACCAGCACGGGAGACTGGTCACGACGTTGATGTGGAGCTCTATCGGTGCCGTCCTTGAACTTGATCAAGACGGTTGTGACACAGCTCGAGCCTGTAGAACTGGAGTCTGCAGAGCTTGAGCCGAGACTGACGTCATGGCCGGTGGTGTGGCAGATGCTGTTGGAGCTGCTGCAGTTGAGTGGAAGCTGGCGATGAGGCTGCTTATTGAGTGGCTATCGCTGCTGGTGAAGCCGGAGCTGTGGCGACGCTGCCGTCGAAGGCGCTATAGCCTTCAGTGGTGCACTGGGCTCTGTTGCAACGCCTGTGGATAGTGAGCGATCTCCAGCTGTCGTCTTCCATATTGATAATGACGATGGTTTGGGCTTCAGCGCGCGTCGAATGCGCCGTTCACGTGGTGCCAATCGTTATCCATCCCTATCAAATGCACAATCTTGTCTACTCCAGCTTCCGTATCGCGAATACTCCTCGCACTGGTAACTCGTCCGATGGCGGCGTCTCAGCGCTAGTAACTCGTCCGATGGCGGCGTCTCGGCATTGGCAACTCGTCCGATTACGACGTCTCAGCGCTGGTAACTCGCCCGATTACGGCGTCTCGGTGCTGGTAACTCGTCCGATTACGGCGGCTCAGTGCTGGAAACTCGCCCAACGGCGGCCTCCCAGTAACAGCGGCTGTCTGAGAACGGCCCGATCGGCGTGGCGCTAGGTCCGCGCGGCGAGCGTCTGCCGCCAGTCGTTGACGGTGCAGAGCGCTGAGAACGGCGCGCCAGCCCCCAGGCCGCATTTAAAATCCTACAGCACGCAATCGACGATCACCAGACAGTTTGATGGTCGACAGCTTCTCGCACATTTTTGGCGGGTTACCATTTAATTGCCAATGTCCCGCCGCGTGGTCGTCAGCGAACGGCTGACGCCAGTCCGGCCAGGGCGCAGACAGATCAGAGTCACGTGTCAGTCACGTGATCTTTGATCGGATCGGAGTCAATTCCGCGAAATCGTGTCACGTGATCTTTGGCCCCACTACCCAACAGTGTGACGTTACCTGTAGCTTGTCCGTGTCGCGCGAGCAGTTGAGGTCCCTGAGGCGCCGAAAGATGTCCTTCTTGCCGCTCAGCACTGCTGCCTCCGAGTCACCCTTGTCCACCATCGCCTCCCGGAATTCTGTGGACGGGGCAACAGTGAAGCGATCCGAGGCGTCAAACAAGAAGAATGCACCCTCTCTGACCCCCTCTGGAGCAATTTTCATGCGCGAATTCCAGCGGAGCATGTTTGATATAAAACGCGTGAAACAAATGCCATCTGTGCATAACAAGCGCGGGCAGTGCCATCCGTGCATAACAAGCACGGGCAACTCCTGCAGCACTGCTCTGGCAAGAGGGAGGGGCAGATGCGCATCACCTCAGAGCCATGCAACAGTAGAAAGACAGGAGGGAGACAGCAGGGAGACAGCAGGGAGACAGCGGGGAGACAGGGAAGACGGGAGGGAGACAGCAGGGGTTACAGCAGGGGGACAGGGAAGACAGGAGCGAGACAGCAGGGGGTACAGCAGGGGAACAGCAGGGAGGTGACACACAGCTGACTACGTCTCTGCGTGCGTCGCGCCGCAGCTCTCATCGGTCCAACGCGCGCTCCACTGACCGGTACCGTGCTTGCCCGCTCCCCTGATGACCAGCGTGCTCTCGTGCACGTCCAGCCGCTCCAGAGTCTCGCGCATTTCCTCTGCGGACAGACGTCAGGGGCAAGTCAACAACCCACGGTTATGCCTCCAGCACGGAAATCATAGCCTGTGGCGATGACTTTACCTTCAGGAAGCACCGACTACGCTGCTTATCTGGTGCCCGCAAATCACAGCCAGTGAGCACCTCAGGGTCGAGCATTTCGTGATTCTGGCGACTAGCATATACCACAGAAGTAACAAGCTGGCGCAGGCGTAGCCATCCGATCATTCTTAATTTGTTCATGCTCACAGCAATAGACAAGCTTATGCACGACGTATGTTAATTGAGTTATGCTGTTTAGTTCCAGGGTAGATCACAATTAAACCCATCTGCAGGGTCAATCCGTCCCAAAAAGGTTGGAAACGCTCTTCTAAGCCACACTCTCCGTGTAATGCGAGACCAACATCCCAGCGGTGTGTCGTGTATGTACCATACCCGGCGGAGATTTGCTAGTGCCCCAGACCAAGACCCAGACCCAGGCTAGTGCCCCAGACCCAGGCCATTGGCTAGTGCCCCAGACCCAGATCCAGGCTAGTGCCCCAGACCCGGACTCAGGCTAGTGGTCCAGACCCGGACCCAGGCTAGTGGCCCAGAACCAGGCCCAGGCTAGTGCCCCAGACCATTGGCTACGGCCCAAGACCCAGACCCAAACCATTTGATAGTATCCCAGACCCAGACCTAGGCTAGAGCCTCATACCCAGACCCAGTCTAGTGCCCTCGACCCAGACCATTTTTATTGACGACTGCATTGCACTGAGAGCGAGTATTTGCTGTTAGCACACAATGCAGCATAATCCACAGGGCATTGGCAGAACAGCTCCAAATCACCCCGGTCTCGAACAAAAATGGTCAGCAGGCCGAAAACAAACAATCAATCTATGTTTGGTGTCGGGTTCATCGACACTAGCGTGACAGAATTCGACTGACAGCTCGGTGAAAGTCAGGCAAGTGAGACCCATGGACATTACCACGAGTACACCATGGAGCGGCCCTGCTGCCAGCACACATGGACGGACGCTGCAGATACACGCCATTCAGCCAGGGCACCGTCACCTGTCTAACAGGCCTCGCCCCGGAGCGGTGCGGCCTGGGCCTGGTGCCAATGACCGCGTACGAGTGCTAACTGATGCACGCACAAATTACGCACACGCATGGCTGCGCCGTGGGGCCTGAATCGCCTGCCCATGCACCACCAGCACCGCGGATCTCACCCGTTCTAACCTAGTCTGTTCGTATAACCAGACAGCTGCCGCGTCCAGAGCTAGGGCCGCGCGGCAACCTCGCCAGGCTGCCGTGCCCAAAGCCACGGTCGTTTGCATGTGGCAAGGACGTCGGACAGCTGAGCCGCCCCCAGCCCCGCCAGGCTGCACGAGGTGCCATCCGACCCCCAGCCGGCTGCCGGTGGGTGATCCGTGACGCGGTTACCAGTGACCGCGCCGATCCTCGCTCCTCCATTGGTCGAGGAGGGGTAGGGGGGTAATGACACCCACAGTGCATCGGGGATGTGAGCAGTGCATCGGAATCGCTCTAAAACAGCGAGTCTGGGCTCGTCAGAACGACAGGAGTCGATTGACGCTTCAGGCTACGACTAACGCTCCAGGAGTCGACTGACGCTCCAGGAGTCGACTGACGCTCCAGGAGTCTACTAGCGCTCCGGGAGTCGACTGACGCTTCAGGCTACGACTAACGCTCCAGGAGTCGACTGACGCTCCAGGAGTCGACTGACGCTCCAGGAGTCTACTAGCGCTCCGGGAGTCGACTGACGCTCCCGTTCGAAAGCAGCTGCACAAAAGACGGGCCCGGAGAATCCACCCGCGTGACGTCAGATGGAGTAGAAGATAACGCGCATGTCGCGTGGGGTTCTCAAACTGCGGGAGTCTCGTCCGTGCAGAGCTGTCTGGCATGGCCGCCTACGTCACGACTCTTGAGCGCGCACTTCCGCATGCCTGAATTACGCGGGTTTAGTCCCTTTCAGGAATGGGCCTGTTAGAGCCACAGCCGTGTGCCCGTCGCTCAGTAACCAGTACGGAGGAGCCACTGGAAAACAGTATTCAGTGGGCAGCCCTCGGCACGAGAGCGGGAAAGACCGGGCGAGCTCAGCACGAGGTAGCCGCGTGTCGCGTGGAGATGCGCTAGACGCCAGACGTAATGCTGAGGGTCAGCCGCAGTATCAACATATTCGTACAGATAATGTCAATGCCGATAGCGGAGGTCACGTGACCAGCCAACAGACTATGGAGATATGTGTGGGGAACACCATGATGTGCTTTGTAGGCCGATGTGGAAGACGATCACAATGCAATGACATGAAGATTGAAGACGCGTTCACGAGACTTATTCGCAATAGGGCTGCAGGAACATCGGGCTGTCTTCGTAACCATAACGAGCAACCTGTTTGTGGCGGATGCATGTGGCCAGCGAGCCGACTGCGTAAATTTGGCGACGAGGATGACGATGTACGTCGCAACCTTAGCCGGCAAGCCACTACAATGCACTTTGACCTTGCGCGGTCTTGCACCCGTGGTTGTACCCCCGCTAATGGTGCGAGTGGGTGGCGAGTGTGGCGAGTCTGTTGTCTGCTGAAGTTGTCTTTTACGCCAGATGCGTCAGATGTCCGCCAGATATGCCATGCTTGGTCCGTGCTTGGTTCCGCCGGGCTCGGTCTGCAGCTGGTTGCATTTTAACCACCACGCATTGATACCCGCAATTAGCACATCCTGCTACTCATTATTAAGACTACATCCCACTTCACATCGAACTCCATTTAAATATATTTCACTGAAACAACTCTTCTCCTTCTTGACACTCCCCAATTTCTGCAAGAAGACATTTTTCGCCAGGACATTGCGGTTTATTGTCATTGAACAGGGGACGCCCCGGTCGACGCCGTGGGGCGGTGGGACGTCGGATCGACGTTGGTTGCATCGTCGCCGCCACCTCCGTTGATCTCAGCCGTGCTTTAGAAAAATCGATCATGGCGTCAACAAAGCTGCAGTGGTATGGCATTGATCCGAGGTGGTTTGAGAGCTACCTTGCTGGTCTTTAGTTAAGGGGGGGTCGCATTTCCTTTCCGCAGACTCACGGCGTCCCCAGGGATCCTTGGTCGGCGCTATCCTCTTCGGCATCTTCACGAACGACCTTCCGTCTTATTTCCCTCGCGGACGTCTAGCACCCCATGCCGACGATACCCACATGCCGCGCACATCCCGCTCACAGTTCCACGCGATTGCCTCGCTGGTCACGCGCAAGCCCCGCTCACAGTTCCACGCGATTGCCTCGCTGGTCACGCGCAAGCCCCGCTCACAGTTCCACGCGATTGCCTCGCTGGTCACGCGCACGCCCCGCTCGCAGTTCCACGCAATTGGCTCGCTGGTCACGCGAACGCCCCGCTCGCAGTTCCACGCGATTGCCTCGCTGGTCACGCACACGCCCCGCTCATAGTTCCACGCGATTGCCTCGCTGGTCACGCACACGCCCCGCTCACAGTTCCACGCGATTGCCTCGCTGGTCACGCGCAAGCCCCGCTCACAGTTCCACGCGATTGCCTCGCTGGTCACGCGCAAGCCCCGCTCACAGTTCCACGCGATTGCCTCGCTGGTCATGCACACGCCCCGCTCATAGTTCCACGCGATTGCCTCGCTGGTCACGCACACGCCCCGCTCGCAGTTCCACGCGATTGCCTCGCTGGTCACGCGCACACCCCGCTGACAACTTCCTGTTCACTATCAATATGAAGAGAGACCGACGTTCCGGCCGTTGTTTCTCGTATATTTATCGTGTGGACGTTGCCACTTCTCAAGGCATTACATCTTAGCCGCATGGGCTTACATGGGTTACATGGGTTAGACGCATGGGCTTACAGAGTCCATCACCATACTCGCCATCAAATTATGCGTAACCGGCTCGCTGGTCATCTACACGCGCCGCCCATCGGTTTGTTCATGGTCTGTACAAATATTCCCGATGTTCCAGCCGCTCCGCAGCGTTACGCCCCGTCGCTGGGCCGCGCCGTATGGAAGTCTTGGCACCAGTGACGTCATCGCACTGAACAGAGCGGATGGAAACCCGACTCGTGGCAGAGCCCATGTACGGCATTTCTCTGACGTTAGCGAGTATTTGTCCACCGGCCGGCAGCTTTAGGAAGTAGCAACCCAGCGGCAGTTTCTCCGGGAAGTGGGCTTCCGGCAGCCGGCAGCTCTAGGAAATAGCAAGCCGGCGGCAGGTTCTCCGGGAAGTGGGGCTCCGGGCAGCCGGCAGCTTTAGGAAGTAGCAAGCCAGTGGCAGGTTCTCCGGGAGGTGGGGTTCCGGCAGCCGGCAGCTTTAGGAAGTAGCAAGCCAGTGACAGTTTCTCCGGGAAGTGGGGTTCCAGCAGCCGGCAGCTCCAGGAAGTAGCAAGCCGGCGGCAGGTTCTTCGGGAAGTGGGGTTCGGACAGTGTGTTTCGACGCATGCCGTTGGCAGTTCGCAGTCTGCTGACGCCTACATGAAGTGCGACACTGGGATGAGCTAATGCGTTTTAAGAGGTCAAAAGAGACTTTTAGGATGAAATGTCGAAGCGCACAATCAATAGGGACAATCATATCAGTCGTTACAATGAATAAGCCACGTCGCTAGTCAGTCTTATGAGTTGCCACGCTGAAAACAGCTGTCATTCAACATGCGAGACGGTACCGGTCAAACGACAACAGAAAAATGCCATTGGCATATATCATGAAAGTTACCCATGCTTTAAAGCGAAGGCCATAGCCACGACCAATGGGTCCGCTTGTGACAATGGGTCCGCTTGTGACAATGGGTCCGCTTGTGACAACGCTTAGTATACTCGCTTAACCGGCACCATCTGTGATAATGAAGGCTGTTCATCATCAGCATAAGATCACATGATGTCTAGAAATCCAGGAGTTTTACACATTGGTTTTACGAAGATATACCATTCCATAAACTTGAGCACCTGGCACATATGTGTCGAAACTAGGGGGGGGGGGGGGGGCATGATCCTCGCA